ACTATTTAGTCAATATACAGGGTGTCCCAGAAATAAGTGCAAATATTTTAACTGGTAGTATAGTTCAACCCCAGAAACACGCCTATGAGGTTTTTTTTTGCGAAAAAAAAATGTTGAAAATAATTTTTCTTGACATTTTCCGGCAAATTTGAAAAAACTTTTTAGTGCCACTTGTTTATTCACCTGAGATTTCCCTCCGGTCTATCTAAACCTTGCAGTGTTGCAACATCCTATGTTATCCACATTCTACATAGTTCGGCGGAACATAGTTCTACATTTATAAATTCATAGACAAATTTCTACTCAAAAAATTAGGAATGTTAAATTTAATCTTTTATCAGTGCTCATTATTAATAATTATAGAAAAAAAAACACATTAATTATTTTTAGTACTTACCCTTTCAATGAAAACTTAACAAAAACCACCGAAAATTAACTAAAACATTACGTTTATGACGTTTACGAAAATCTTTGTTATGCTGCAAAATAACTTTATTTTGGAATAAATTTAATAAAATGATTCATATTATTCACAATCAGGTCACAAAAAGAAATTCCTAAAATGTTTATCGTAATTTAGAATTCAATTCAAGAAATTTAGAAAACAGTCCAATGAATAATCAGTTCATTTTTGTTTTGTTTGTTTTCTTTCATGTTTCTCTGTTTTATTTGAACCACTGATTTACAAAACACCTTGAAAAGCGCACATTACTTTGAATACCTTTCTGAATCAAATTCGTATTAAATTTTAAAAATAAAACAGAGAAACATGAAAGGAAATAAACAAAACAAAAATGAATTGATTATTCGTCGGGCTGTTTTCGATCTATTGAATTCTGAATTACGATAAACATTTTAGAAATTTCTTTTTTTTTGATCTTATCAATAACCAATTCATTTGTGTTTTGTTTGTTTTCTTTCATGTGTTTCTGTTTTATTTTTAAAATTTAATAAGAATTTGATTGCTTCGAGTGTCTTGAATTTCAAATTGTTGAAACTACGACAACCTCGCATGACACAAGCTCGATACGGCGGCGCGACAAAGGAGCAGTTACCAGTGATGCGCCGCTCTCTTGGCCGGTGGCCGACGCGACGATTGGGCTGTCGATGGAATTGTTGAAATACATAGAAAAAATAGCGAAAAAACAAAATATGTATTTAAAATTGTTGAGTGAAACATGTATTTCCTTAGATTGAAAGTAGTTCGTAAAGTGGCGGTGAGAGACAATAATTCTCAACATTTATTCATTCAGAAAGGTATTCAAAGTAATGTGTGCTTTTCAAGGAGTTTTGTAAATCAGTGATTCAAATTGTGATGAGGCCTATATGAAAATAATGTGTTAAAAATGGGGACACTGTTATTTTAGTAGTTATTATAATAACTACAGCATGTACAAGTAAAGCAGCACAGTGAAGTGTATTTTAGTTAAGTGTATATCGAAAAAGAGAATTGTCACAGTTACAATCTGTCATAAGTATCTTTTTTAATGTTGGGTAAGTTTTTTAATTTAACTTTTTTAACACATTTTTTAACACATTATTAAACATTTAACTTTTAATTTATTTTATGTAATAATATCACAATCTTAAAAATGTAATGAATCTCTGCAAACTCGTCAGGTGTTGTGATTTTATGACTTACTTTTAACATATACTTTCTTGTCCCTATGGCAACACAGTGCGTCGAATTAACTGAAATCCGGGCTTGATCCGGGTAATTGGATGTAGTTGGCGATATCTGCCGGCGGTTCTCAAAATGTTGCGATTATTTTTTTAAATTTTCAAAGTTAAATAACTCGATTATTTTCAATTTAGTTAAAAAATGGTAAAGAGAAAATATGTTTATTTTGACCAGATCTACCACCCCTTAAAATATCTGCACTCATTTCTGGGACACCCTGTTATGTTTAATTTATGTCAATGATTATTACCGATAGCAATTATTACCAGGAGACATTTTTTACGTAAAAAACTTCGTAAATGTATATTTTTTTACTCAGTAGTGTTATACAGGTACAGACGAAAAGTTATTACTCTTCAAACCTGTTAAAAAATATGTAGGTGGCGCCCTCTACTAGTAGGAGTCGTATTGACCTCAAAATCAAATTTCTCATGTCAAGAAACTCCCAGACACCAATTTTCATCCAAATATTGACGTTACTGCAGAAATTATTTTGAAAAAATCGAAATAAAAATGAAATTTCTACGCCTTGTATATCCGAATTTATGCATTTTAGGACATACATTTATACGAACTTTTTTGCTTATTTTTTTCTGCAGAATATGCTGCCGAAGTTTCCGGAATACAATTCGGACCACCCTGTATACAGGGTGAGTTTCCTACGATGTTCTCTATGGGTATCTTGGAAACTACTGGAGATAGAGAGTCGGTTAAATGGGGAAAGAATTGCAGTTTTGTGGGGTCATAAATATGCGCCTTTCAGATTTATGAAAAAGTTCATGGCTTACTAGATATTTTGAAAAAAACAAATTTCGGCTATTTTAAAAATTGTCCCTAATTCTATATATATATAGCTATATATATATATAATATATATATATATATATATATATATATATATATATATATATATATATATATATATATATATATATATATATATATATATATATATATATAACTATATATATATATATATATATATATATATAGTATATATATATATATATATATATATATATATATATATTTATTTATTCCCTATAAGCTATTTTAGACAAAAACTTTTCAGATAAAAGTTGTAGATAATCACATCCTTAATGAGATCGTGTCCTCTGTTATTTTCTAAAGCCTGTCATTTTTGACATATCACACAAACATATGTTTTTTTTAAATGGAAACCATAGTTGGCCATGACTTCATAAAAAGCGGCATTTTTTAAGCTTTTTAGCGATAATATGTTTTCTTCGAAAAATTACTGAGTTATATGACTAATTGCATGGGCCTCCTCGATCACCTGACCTATCCATTTTAGATTTTTTTATGCGGTATGGTTAAAAATAAGGTTTACAAAAGAATTTATGAATTAAGAGAGGCACTCGAAGTGGCGGTACGAGAGAAGTTTAATTAAGTCAACCGGTCCTTTTGTGAGGATAGGTAATAATTCAGTTTTAAAAAGATGTAACTCAAAACAATGGCGGATTTTTTGAACATTTTCTAAAATAGCTTAAAGTGTATGCAGTGACTGCAGCGATATTATTTTTTTAAGTTTTAGTTTGTGTAATGTAAATTCTAAAGAACCGTTTAGTAATATATTCTGACTTTTTATAAGTTATAAATCACAAAAGAATAAGAATGCCATGCAATCTAAGTGAAGTTAGTCAAGAAAGATAAGAATTGGCTATAACTAAATTTAACTTTTCTAACAAGTCTTGAAAATCGTTCTCTAAAAAACATAACATTCACCGGTCAACGTATCCTCGAAAATGTATGGTCAAGAAAAGTTGAACCAATAATCTTACATGCTTTTCTTCATTTGAAAAATTCATATTTACAATTTTTGTTTACTTTAATTTACAAAGTTTGGATGTGACAGCTTCACATTTATAAGAGCAAAGACGATTGTTTCCATGGCTAACTAAGTGAAATTATTTAAAAATGATAAGAATTGGCTATAACTCGATAATTTTTCGAAGAAAACATATTATAGGTTATATCGCTGAAAAGCTTAAAAAATGGCACTTTTTATAAAGTCATGGCCAACTATGGTTTCCATTTAAAAAAACATATGTTTGTGTCAAATGTCAAAAATGACAGGCTTTAGAAAAAAAACGGAGGACACAATCTCATTAGGGATGTGATTATCTACAACTTTTTTCTGAAAACTTTTTGTCTAAAATAGCTTATAATGGAATTAGAGACAATTTTTAAAATAGCCGAAATTTGTTTTTTTCTAAATATCTAGTAAGCCATGAACTTTTTCAAAAATCTGAAAGGCGCATATTTATGACCCTACAAAACTGCAATCTATAACCCTACAAAACCGTTTAACCGACTCTCTATCTCCAGTAGTTTCGCCCTGTATATAATATGGCCAGTCCGACCCTGCGTCGATCCGTTCTGTAAATACGGGGTATCCGTAAAGGGTAAGGGGAAAAACGAAATTCTCTATATACGAGCAATTCATCGGGGTGCTATAAATAGTTTAAATAACATTACTTACTTGTACAATCGTCATTTTTATTTTTTTCAACGTTTTTCCACGTAAATGATACATAATCTTTATAAAAATTATAAAAATAAGGAGAAAAGTAATACAAATTTAGTAAAATCGCGCTGTTTTCATCCTGTAATGACCGCACTGTTTTCCAAGCTCGGTCTACTACCGTTGTAAAAAAATAGGAGATAAGCATGGAAGGATTCTACCATATCTTCTAAGAATTATAAGTTTAATTTTTAATTTATTTTCATATTCATTAAGTCCAAAATGCTGCTACTTGAGTCCTTTAAAAATGTATTAAAAATTTATTCCTTTTTGGACTTGTATGTTTTGCTTCTAGACCGACGATATTATAAATATATGGTTATGAATATCATATTTTTTAAATTTAATTGATTTCTAGATCTAAAAGTTTGGGTAATATTCAATTCCATTTTCAAAATTTCAAAAAATAAAGGTTGCTATCTCCAGAAATATAATTTTATTTCTTATTTCTGCAAGACGAATATCTGCTATCTCCCTATTGTGACTGAAAAAAATTAAGTAACACAAAATATTGAGTTTTATTGTTCCCCAGCAAATAAAATGCTTATTTCTTTATCATATTAACGCATGAAAATACTTCCTACATGTGTACATATTTTCTGTACCGTTTTTTTGCTCTCCTGTAAAATTAGGAATAATGGAGTTAGCAGTTTATCACATTTCACCGACGATATGGAACATTTATTATAGAAAACACTTATTTATAAAAAAAGTAAAGTTTGCAATAAACTGTTTTTTTTTTCTAAAATTTATTATCATTAATTTTTGTTATAGGGTAATATATGGCAGCAACTACTATCGTTTCACTTCATATTAGAAATCGTTAATACTGTACCATTTACATTTACCGTAAGTACCACAATATATTTGAACTAACACTTCGTTAAAAACAATGTGTTTTGCAGATTTTTTACTCCCCTTTACGAACAATGTTTATACCTGTATTTTTAAATTGTTGGTTGGCTAAGCAATCTTTAGAAAATATGTTTGTAAGTATATAGATGGATACCATATATGTACCCAATATGTAAAAAAATATATATAAATGTTTCAGAATGATCTTCATAGAGCAATGCAAAAATCGCAATCGGCATTGTCACAACAACTAACTATATTGTCAGCAACTTTAGTGTGCCTCGTATTTACTAGGTATTTATATATAAAAATATTTATTTAGATTTTAATAACAACAATTAGATGATGTGGTGATTTTCGCATTTATGACAAATAGATGTGAAGATCAAATTTGAAATATTGGTTTAGTATATCAATTTTAATGGTATATAATAAAGTAAATAACTTTCTGATTGGCTTATGACTGAAAACGTCACGTCAGTGTATTTCACCATTGAAACTGAAAACTAAAATTAACACTAGGTATTTATTTATTTTTTTTGTACAGGGTGTTCCAATATTCCGTGGACATAGAACTACTATGTATTGTTGGAATCAAAATAAGTTCATTCGAAAAAATTACCTCTACACAAAAATGCTTGGTTTGTCCGCTAGAGAACATCAAACTTGAAAAATTAAACACATTTTTCAGATATTTTAAGAACCGTTGGCCGGCCGTAGCGCAAGCAGTTAGTGTGTCGATGTGCGGTGCGAGAGATGGGATGGTACTGGGTTCGATCCTCAGTCACTACGGTCGCTTTATTTATTTAAATAAACTTATTGATTTATCTAAATAAAGCTACCCTCAGGGACTGGCATTGCTACACTTGGTCGCTTTATTTATTTAAATAAACAACCTTCCTTGAATTCCTTTCTACCTCCAACCCTTTGCTCTTAGCAAAGGGTATCCCTACCTACCCTCTTCCTCAAAGATCGTTTCATGCTGTGGCCGCGCTGGGAGTACTAAGTACCGCCTTAGTACCTTCGGACCTTGATCAGAGAGTGTGCATTGGATGTGAAGGTCGGACTTCACATTGCCCCGGGCAAGTCCTCGTCCGTCCGAGTTTACCGGGACGGGGAAAACGAAGGCTGGGCCTCAGGGAACTGGGGTAGGAAGCAGTCCGAGGGTATACCCGTTCTCAGCTATTTCGGCCCGCCGCGCCCCTCTGCACACGATACGCTGTGTCATACTAGACCATGGAAAATCAAAATGTTATACTGGATTAAAAAACAATCGGTACGAAGACTCAGGAAACTGCTAAACAGCAGGCTAACCCGTTTGAAAGACGGAGCTCGCTTTCAAGAACACCTCCAAGGCGCTCATGGTCCGTACCTGACCTCAGCCCAACGGATATAGATCGACAAACACCGGCGAAAAGGAAACGAACTGATGGTCCCCTTTTTCCTAAGAGCAATCAAAATACAGGAGAACTTATTCGGGACATTGTCCACAAGTTGGAGCTAAATGCCAAAACACTCAGCCGAACGGTAAATGAGAGCTCGAACACCAAAAAGGAGATAAGAGAAATTTCTTCAAAGCTCCTGAGGCTTACAGAAACTGACAGGCTGTGAAGTACAAAAGGCTTTGCAAGGTCTTCTGAACAAAACAGAGACAAATCCAAAAAAGCTAAAAAGTCGCACAACCAATATCTCAAAGCACAAACGCAAACTGACTTGTTGAGAGCCGAGACCCAAATAATGGAATCCAATCCAGACATCCCAAAGTTGACAAAGCGAGAAGTCGCTGGAGCAATCAAGGAGGAGTTAGACAGAACGACCTTGGAAGTTCTTCTAGATCAAGATTGGGAAGATGAATGCTACACCCATACAATTCTAAGCAAAAGTGGCGCAAACGATGTAACGAAGCAAACCGACATTGCAATATTCCTGGACCCAAATATTGCAGCCAAGTCGAAGGTGATCCGCAAGGTGGCTGAGCTCGTACCGGAAATACGAACACTAGCCATGGATAATAAACCAGACCCAGAGAAAATAGCATGCATAGAGAGTAACAGTAAGATGATATTAGAAGAGAACAGTAATCCCCAGGAAGAAAATAAATGTACCTTTTTGGTGGGGACCGACGCGACGATCGCAAAGAAAATGAAGATGGCCTCTATGAGCTGTATCTGGCAACAAAGAAGCTATATAGTATCTGGCGAGCTATATAGTATCTATCGAGCTATATAGTATCTGGCGAGAGAAGCAGAACGAAGGAGCAAGTCAAAACTACACGTCATAGTCCAGAAACAATGGCCCCAGTCCTATTGCCGCAAAACTGTTGAGTCTGCTTTGAAATCCAGCAACCTCAAAGTCATCCTGTATCTAGAATCGCCAGCAAAGCGCCCTGCAGGCACCACAGAGGTCCAAATAAGGTAAAAAAACAATCAAAAAACCAAACGAGCTAGTGGTTATGGAGCGAGGGGATCGCTCATACGCGGATTTGCTCAGGATTGTAAAGGATAAGGTACAAACCAGCGACCTAGGAGGAATGATTCGCGCAGCTAGAACCACCAAGAAAGGAGACCTGCTCCTTACAACAGATGGCTCAGAAGGCACTGCTGAGAGTATAGCAGGTATTCTAACGGTACAAATGGCGAGGCAGCCGTCAGAGCACTGGGAGCAAAGGATTCCCGCATGATAATCCATTTGAAGGGTATTGACGCCATAACAAGTAAAGAAGAGATCGAAAGTGTTGTGAAGAACTTTGCAGACAAAGAAGGACTGAAGGGACAAATAATAGTTAGTAACCTCCGTCCAAGCTACGTCTCAACTCAGAACGCGACAGTTGTCACCAATGCAGAAATTGGAACTAAGCTTATAGAACAAATAATTCGAATAGGCCTTATAGTATGCAGATTAATGGAAAGGGTGAAAATGACTAACTGCCACCGATGTTTGGTAGTAGGACAACTGCCACCGATGTTTGGGAGTAGGACACATAGGAAGAGAATGCAAAGGGCCAGATAGATCTAAGTGCTGCGTGAAGTGCGGCGAAGAAGGACATTTACAGAGAAACTGTACTAACGGAGCCTACTGTGTGGTCTGCAAAACGTCTGGACATAGCCCGCGCTCGATGCGGTGCCCGGAATATAGAAAAGTGGCCAGTATGAAAGGGAAGACATTCACCGTGCCAAAAAATGGCTAGTTTCCTACAAATCAACCTGGGACGACGAAGACCAGCCCATGATCTTCTAATGCAAACGGTAGCAACAGACAAAATCGACATCCTACTTGCTAGTGAGCCGAATAAGATCCTGGTCGAGAAAAGCAGGTGGTACCTAGACAGCAACTTAGATGCAGCTATAGGAATTTTGCGATCAGGAATTGAGATCACAGGGGCTTTGTTTGGGTAGAATGCACGGGATTAATACTTGTTAGCTGCTATGTATCACCAAATATAACTATAGATTCATACGAGACATTTTTCTATGAACTTGATTGCATCATCGGTTCATGCTGGGAGAGATGTTTAATCGCGGGAGACTTCAATGCCAAATCAGACTTATGGGGATCACTATCAAATGATCGGAGAGGAACCTTGTTGAAAGAATGGGCTGCATCACATGACCTTGTAGTACTAAATACAGGATCCACACCAACCTTCCAGAGAGGTAACGCCATGTCACACTTAGACATCACGCTTACATCAAGTAGAATAACTAACACAGTAAGAGACTGGAGAGTGTCAGAGCAGGAAAGCCTATCTGACCACAATTACATCTTTTATCGGATAGAAAAACGCAATTCAAACAAACCTATAGGAGCAATTACAACACGGAGAGGCTGGAAGTTAGACAATGTCGGGTTGGAGCATTTCTCAAAAATACTAATCAAGAAGGTACAGGAAATGGGAGAAAGGCACCTCACACAAGAAGACCTAACAAAACATGTCACTGACGCATGCAATGCAACTCTTCAGAAGAGGTCCAAACCAAGGAAAAATAGAAAAGCAGTATATTGGTGGTCACCAGAGATTGCTGAAATCAGGAAGGAGTGTCTAGCCATAAAAAGAACAGTAACTAGAGCGAATAGGAGAGCCGAAAATAGGACAGACGAGAGAGAAGCCGTGCAGAATGCATATAAACAGAAAATAAATGATCTCAAAAATGCTATTAGAAGAGCGAAACGAGAGGCTTGGGCGTGTGTCACGCGGGAAGTTGAAAATGATGTGTGGGGCATGGGGTTTCAAATTATAACGAAAGGACTGAAACTAAGAGCGCAGACCACAGTGCCTGAGGAAGTCATGATGCGGGAAGCAAATAAGCTCTTCCCCAAACAGCAAAGAATAGTCTGGTCGGATATCGAAGTCCAGCGCGTTCCACTCTTGACTAGAGAAGAACTAGACGTCGCCGTAAAACAGCTTAAGACCAAGAAGGCACCTGGCCCAGACAACATCCCTCCCTAAATTGTGAAATGCGCAATAGGAATTATACCGGAAAATTGTGTTGAGAACCTAAACTATCAATTACAGTTGGGTGAATTTCCGAAAATCTGAAAAGTAGCTCGGCTAGTACTACTTGAGAAACCCCGCAAAGCTGACCAATCGACCACTACATACCGGCCATTGTGTCTGCTGAACTGCTTCGGGAAAGTCTTCGAACATCTATTGAAGAGCAGACTCAGCCAAGAGATAGAAGCTATGGGAGGGATCGCCGACACCCAGTTTGGATTTTGCAAGGGCAGATCTACAGTGGCAGCAATGCTTGCAATGAATACTAGACAATGCGAGGGCAGCTCAGGCCTTTGCACATGCCAACAGGAAATTCTGCCTTCTAGTAACCCTAGATATAAAAAATGCCTTCAATTCCGCCGCCTGGAAACAGATCGACGAGGTGGTCACCCAAACAAAGGTTGCACCTTATATCATACGACTAGTACGAAGCTACTTGTCCGATAGGAAGCTGATCATTGAATGACGGATGGAGGTTACCTGCGGGGTTCCGCAAGGATCGGTGATCGGTCCGCTACTGTGGAACATCTACTTTGACGGTGTCCTGAGGTTGGAGATGCCAGAGGGTGTGGGACTTCTAGCCTTCGCGGATGATCTTGCGGTGGTGGTTACAGGTGCAACGGAGACCATAGTGACAACCAAGACTAATCTTGCCATCAATAGGATAGCGGAGTGGACCAGGCAGAAACGGCTAAAACTGGTATCAGAAAAAACAGAGGCAATACTGCTCACAGGCAGGAGGACGGTTAGGCATGTTGGGGTTGATGTTCTAAACATGGAAATCAGTACCAGGGAGACCATCAAATATTTTGATGTTGTTTTCGACCGAGGGACTAGAATGACCAAACATGTCGAATATGTTACTAGAAAGGCGGAGAAGACCGTCACATCACTGTGTTGGTTAATGCCGAACAAAGGAGGACCTTCATCGGGCAAACGCCGACTACTTGCAAATGTTGCTATTTCCACGTTGCTTTACGCTGCACCGGTGTGGGGTGGAGCTATGCGCTATCGCAAATATAGGGACATGTGTCAACATGTATTGAGAAGAATGGCTATCAGGGTGTGCTGTGCTTTCCGTACTGTGTCTACTGAGGCTGTACTGGTTATTGCAGGAATAGCTCCAATCGAACTTCAGGTGGAGGAAAGGATCATGGGAATAGGAGCATATAAATGCGCAAAAACTGAGGCCAGACAAAAAACGCTGAACAGTTGGCAAAATAGGTGGGAGGCCATGCGTGAAGTGGCTCAGTGGACTAAAAGCCTCATACCAACCCTAATACTGTGGATGGAGAGAATACATGATGAGGTTAACTACCACCTCGGTCAGCTACTGACTGGACATGGTTGCTTTCAGGCCTACTTCTGTAGATTTAAGCTGGAAGATACACCGGAATACCTCTACTGTGGGGATTTGATGACGCAAAGCACACATTTTTTCAATGCTTCCGATGGCAGAAACTACGCACTACCACGGAAGTGCAAATAGGAGAAAATATTACCCCTGATAGTTTCCTCAGGCTCATGTTGGCAAGCGAAGAGCACTGGAAACTTATCTCCGACATAGCGAAAAAAGTAATCTCACAAAAACAGAAGAACAGACTGGAGAGCAGGCAAGGCAGCTAAGGCAACAGCCAAAGAGTGAGAAGTAATACCTACCGGTGGTTCCTCACTGAACTGGCAGAAACGAAACTAGAGGCGGTTTTTTAGTGGGTAAAAATCCCACACTACCTGCCATCAGACATCAGGCAGGTGTCGAAGATTTTTCCCCTCTCAAAAAAAAACAAATCTAAATAAAGCGACCAGTGCAGCGAGCCGCCATGCGCCACCTCAAGGAAGGCAATGGCAAACCACCTTGAGTGTATTTGCCTTGTACAGCCTCTCAAATAAATAGTGCTGTTCCGATTCGGCGATAAACTGTAGTTCCCGTGTACTTGTGAAACACTGATATCACAAGTACATGCGAGAGGTAGCCGACGCTCTGTATAGAGTATGGCACTGTAAGAAGAAGAAGAAGAACCGCTATTCCGATTTGAATGAAATTTTGGGTGTCTATGTTTTGCTAAGTGCTTTAACATTTGACTTTTACAAAAGTCAAAAATGAATACGGAAAGGGTAAAAACTATCCCCACCCCTACATAAATTTTAGTATAAATATTTTCCAACTCTACCGATGCGCGACGGCGACGACAGATTTTCTTTTCGTAAAATGATCCCTCTAGTATTTACTAAATTTTTTCTTTCTTGTAAAAAAACGCCACCACTGCATAGTTTTTGAGATTTTTTTTTGGAGAATTCACTTTTTCAAAGCGGACCTACAAAATATACAGCGAGTTCCAATATTCCGTGGACCTAGAACAACTACGTATTTTTTGAATCAAAATAAGTTAATTGTACATAATTTGCCTTTATACAAAAGTGCTTCGTTTGTCCGTTAGAGGGCATCAATCAAAAGTAAACCCGAACGTTAGATAATTCAAAAATTTATAATTTTTTAAGCTTTTTATGAAGCTTATTGGCAAATGTAATTTGTGCTACTAACATAAAATTCCATATTTTCGCCAACTAGATTACATACTAGATAATAATATATTTTATGCGCCTCCATCCCCAGTAGCACAATAATATTGGTAAAATATTATATTTACATATTGACCCAATGATGGAAACGACAGATTTTTTTAATGGCCCATTGTATATTTATATATGAATCCAATGTTACAGATAAATATTGTCGCAATATGCCAAATTAATATATACCCAATATTTACTTTAGAAAAAGAACCAATATTTATATATCAGATTGGGGCAATATACAGGGTGGCGCATCTCATTCGCCTCGGTTAATTATACGAAAACGGAAAGATGTAGAAACAAAATATTTTGTGGGTATATGTGGGAAGGCAATGTGCATATGTGCATTAGTTAAAATTATTTTGAAATATACAGGGTATGTCAGAACTAAGATCCACACCAAAGTTATTATATATTTTCTTATGGAACACCAAGTATTATATTTCAGTTTTGGATTCTTGGAAACAGAATAAGTCATATATTATAAAGGTTTAATATGTTTACAAGCTTTGGTTTTTGAGATATTTAGATATATTTAAATATGCATGCTGTAATAAAAAAGATCGTCAACACCCTGTACATTGCTTTTCGGAATTAATTCTTATGCTGACTTTTAAGCCAGAGAAATAAACTTTACTGAAAAATTTGATTGCTTTGTTTAATGTAAACAGGGGTATCAAAAATTGCTGGTCAATTTTAAATATGTATTTTACATAATAACTTCGTTATCTCAAGTAAAACACCCTGTATTTTTTAACCTAATCGAAGCAGATTCAAATGCTCTTTCAAACTATATTAGGGTTTCCTATACCTATCTAGCTCAGATTTTAAATAAGGAGCAATTTTTCAATAAAATGGCAACCAAGCGGGCTGGTGTCGTCATGGCAAGTTTCTAGTGACAGTTAGTAGCTATATTCAAAATTGAAATTAGTTTATGGACTTTATTTAAATTTATAGGCCCAGTTTACTCTTATTTAATTTACCTACAATAGTTTAATAAATAATATTTATTAAATATTTATTTATTATTCTAACAAGAAAACCCAAGAAGTAGTTATGTTAGGTTTATTAGGTGGATTTATTTTACGATGACTTGTATAATATATAATATTGGGTAAATATTAAATATAAATATTAGTTACTGCAAAATGTGCTTTATCAGTGTTGGAACAATACTGGATAAATATTATATAACAATATAGGGAAAACGACGACTCATATACGTTACCAATATTAGGTAGATATTAAATAGATATTAGGTAATATTAGGTAAATTATTGCTAATATTGGACTCATATACAATACTTTCCCAATATAGAACCAATGTTGCGCCAATATGGTGTGCTACTGGGGATACCTTGGAGAATTCTTCACACAAGGAATTGTATTTTTTTTCTCAAAAAGTATGCGCGGTGACGTTTTTTTACAAGAGACAAAAAAATTAGTAAATACTAGAAGAACCATTTTACTAAAAAAAATCGGTCAACGGTTGAGTTGGAAAATACTTATACTAAAATTGATGTAGGGGTGGGGGTAATTTTCACCCTTCCCGTACTTTTTCTTGATTTTTGTGAAAGTCAAATGTTAAAGCATTTAGCAAAACATAGACACCCTAAATCTCATTCAAATCCAAATAACGGCTCTTAAAATATCTGAAAAAATGTGTTTATTTTTTTAAAATTTGATGCCCTCTAACGGACAAACGAAGCAATTTGGTATAGAGGTAAATTGTGTCCAATGGACTTATTTTGATTCCAAAAATACGAAGTAGTTCTATGTCCACGGAATATTGAAACACCCTGTATATACCACACAATTTGTATGTCCAATGAACACCCTTCCCACAGTACTTTTTTACTTGTACATACATACATACATACTGCCATTACTCGCTGACGAGTATTCGACACGCATCAGAAGATGGTCACGCAAGGCGTTTTCTTTCATGAGCTTTTCTGTGACTGCAAAGCCCGATACGTGATGTTATCTTGCCCTGACATCAAACTTTTTTAAAGAAGCTACTTCAAAATTAATAATTAATTTATTCATTTATTAACTTTAAAATTTAGTCAGAAATTATCTCCCGAAGTTAGCTACTAAAATATAATTCTTTTAAGATGAGAGTTAGTTGAACTGTTATTTATTTTGTTTGGAAATCACCATCAGGCTAAATTCTTCAGCTAAAATTTGTCTACCGGAATATGCTAAAATATGAGGGGTTTCCATTTAAAAAAAATCGAGATGGCCTCGTATCTGTCAAAATTGACGTTTTAAAGCAGTTTGATGTAGAGAATCGGCATCCTCGCGAAAAATTACATTAAAATATCTTTTTACTATCTTAAAATAGAAAAGAGGAAAATTTTAAATTGGGTGAGACACTTAAAACGATTCTGGAACAATTCATTTTTAAATGCACTGTATATCGAAAACGGTAAGTGCAAAGTATACTAAACTATATATTTTTGAAATTAGCTAGAAAATGTCTACCGGACCATGCTAAAATATGTGGGGGTTTCCATTTAAAAAAAAACAAGATGTTGTCGTATCTGTCAAAATTGACGTTTTAAAAAAGTTTGATGTAGAGAATCGGCATCCTCGCGAAAAATTACATCACAAAATATTTCTACTATCTTTACTATTAATATATATTCGTACTTTTGCGCTTATGCGTAAAAGTGCTTTACTTTTATCTCTAAGTTTTAAAATGACTTTTTTATATTGCCAATCACGTCGCAAATATTAATACATTTGTGACGTTTGAAAAAAAATAATATTTTAAAGCATTTATTTTATTTTAGTGTCTGTGGTATTCAACATTTTCAGCGAGCTGGACATCGGCATTTAAATCTTTTTCAAGCTACATATTATGTGGTTGTAACATTTTCCACTGTTGGCTATGGGGATTTTGTTCCTGATATATGGCCTTCTCAGTTATTTATGGTTATTATGATTTGTGTAGCTTTAATAGTATTGCCAACACAAGTAAGTATAGATATTTACCTTTCAAGCAACCGTTATTCACGTTTTTATTAAATTTGTTTTTGTTAATTTGTTATATAAACTTACCAAAGCGGATCTATATTGTTTTAATCAGCCAATAAATGTAATTAAATAATAGCTTATATGGTATTTGGAATCATCATAAAAAACTTTAAAAATTTCCTTAAATAAATAAATCTATAATTTATTTTAGAGAACTATCAAAATCGTTTTTTTTTTGAAAATAGATTTACGTACTGATGATTTTGCTATTTAGCTTTCGTTGATTTCGCCACACTTTTTTGAAGCATATATACTCTATAATAACTTTAAAATGTGTATCTTAACCGTTCCTATAACTTTTATATTCAATATTTTTTTGTAAACCTCGAAACAAATGAAATAATATCTCCAAAAAAAAATCTATATGGGTATTTTGCCACTGCACTGCAAGAAAATCTACAAAATTAAATAGTTATTTTTTGTAAACACTTCTGCATTAAACCTAAACGGACACTACTTGTAAGAAGTTATTTTTAACAGAACGCTAACGGTTTCTTGTAGACGTATCTGTTTTAAAAAAGTAAAGTGTTCTTTAATAGTTGAATTTAAATATTTTAAACAGTTTTTTTCTTTATTCTTTGTATTTTTTTGCTTCCGATGACGGAAGAGATAAACTTTCCGAAACGTTAAGCATTTTTTTCTTTGTTAGGCAAATTTGTATAACTGTAAACATAACTTCTGACAAGTAGTGTCCGTTTAAGTTTGACGCAGAAGTGTTTACAAAAAATTACTATTTTATTTTGTAGATTTTCTTGCAGTGCAGTGGCGAAATACCCATATAGGATTTTTTTGGAGAGATGAATCCGCCACATTGGTATAGACATTTTTTACAAATGAGATAATGGACTTTACTCTATCGTTCACTCACCTTGTACAGGGTGTCCAATTTTAGTTGAAATCATACTGTATCTCCGTTATTCGTGAAGATAGAAGGGTGCGGTTTGCACAAACCTTATTATTTGAAGTAGTTGAAGTTGTTGGCATTTTGACAAAAGCAATCCTAAGATAAAAAACGCTGCTAAGACTATCAAAATGTTGATCTAATAACAATTTGACGTTTATACTAATACGTCAAAAGCAACTTTTTTCCAAAGCCTACCATGACTTCACTGAATCATCGTTTCTTGTTGACTGTTATTAATATCTTAATTATTAGATATTAATACATTTGGTATTAAGTAAACTAACTGTTTCTATCTTATTTTTTGTTAGAATGGGCATAATCAAGACGGCTACTGATACCGTGTTGTAAAATAAGGTAATTAAGGGGCTTATTTTTTGGTATTTATTATAATTTTGCTAATATCTTCGGTTTAAAAGAAGATATCACGATGCGGTTTTTGCTGACTTCTTAAGCGCCCCCTAGCGTCTACGTTCAAACCCTTATTATTATTATTTTTATGGTATAATATAGAGTAAGAAACGCTCTTTTAAACGAGCTCTCGTTTGTTGGATTCTGATCATCCAGTACGGAGTTACTAACATTTAAATAAAGATAGATCTAACCTTTCCCCACCACTTTATTTTAGTAGATAGGGGAAAATGGTTCTAATAAAAAAATCCAAAATTTACTGAAGATTATAAAACTATTATTTATAGTATCCATTATCTAGGCAAAATTCTGTAAAAATTCTATTTTCTTATTTTCTATAGCAGTTGCGCCCTCTAGCGGCCGTTTTACAAACTTGAAAATAATTTCCAGCAATTTCTCATAGCTCTTTTAGCTAGAAATATTTTTTCCGCAGGCCCTACGGCTAATACTTTCCGAGATACAGCCGAGAGCTATTCTTAGTGGGACACCCTGTACATAGATATAAAAAATAAATATTATTTTTACATGAGGAGTCCCCACGAGAGCTGGCACATATAGTTTTTTGAAACACCCTGTATATGATATAAAAAAGTTTAATTCAATTAAATAATCCAGTCAGATATAATAATTATATTTTTGAAATTTCCTGTTTTAGTTTGAACAACTGGCATTCACGTGGATGGAACGTCAAAAACTGGGCGGTTCGTATTCATCTCATCGAGCCCAATCTGAAAAGCACGTCGTAGTATGCAGTACCAATTTGCATGCCGATACTATAATGGATTTTTTAAATGAATTTTATGCACATCCACTGTTACAAGATTATTACGTTGTTCTTTTATCGCCGATGGAATTGGATACAACCATGAGGATGATTTTGCAGGTTAGAATGCTCCTAGACAATTAATTTATAATTCATCTCTATTAATCTTAACACTGTCATCTTAAAGAAATTTGAAATTTTCTTTTTAAATTTGATTGTTCATTAAGAGTCTATTACGCTGTACTTTCGGGTCGCTCTCAGAGGTCGGGTAAAGCGGCCCAAGGAAATATGTATTATATTTCAGAAATCTGCCTAAGGCTTAGCCCGATCATGTCATGTTAAGCCACACCCAAAATTCCAAACACAAGTGCTTTGATTAAAGCTTGATTAACGTTTGCAGAGCTTCAGCATTTGCCATAAATTAGCGAGCAATTTGTTACAAAACCATATGAATTATAATATAATTTATATGGTTTAGTAATAATCACTGTACTCACAAAACTTCAATCTATTTCCGTATTGTAGTAGTTTAGGTTTTCGCGGTCATCGTTTGAAGAATTTTGGTTTTTCGGGTTGTTAGGCCGTCATCGGTTAGAATTGCTTCCTAACGTTTTGCTAGCACGAGTGGCTAGCATCTTCAGGGTGTGTTTGCTCCGACTGCTCACACTAGACTGATGCCACAGCTGATGCCTCCACGTCGGCGCGGGCGTAGCGCGTATTTATGCGTCGGCGGAGGGGGCGTGTGATCAGGGTTGCCACAAGCTACACAATTGTGTATTTTGCTACACATTTTCTTCCATGATTGCACAGCTACACCACAATCGGCTGTGCTACACATTGTGAGAATTTACATATTTCTTATAAAAAATAATACCAGAACAGTAAATTAGCTGACAAAAGCTGTTTTTTTTTTGCTTTTAAGTTATCTAAGTTACATTAAAAGAAGCCACAACTGAACTTTAAATTTTGAACTGACAAATATCATTTTCCGTCATCAGTGTTCAGGTGTTCAGTAAAATGTCAGAGTATGAACTGGGTCATGAATCAAGGACCATCTATTGGTCGAGTCAAAAACGGTAAATAGACAGGATTGTTTAATTCCTTAAATAACACATAACACGTACTTTGGCCAAATTTCACTGCCTCAATTACGTCACTGTAGTTCAGTCACACTTCTACTCGTTGGCATACGTGAATAATATTCAATTTCTATTTCACTTCCTCTCATATCAGCAAGGACTGCAGTTTCTATGGACAAATTTGGCCGATTAAATAGTCCTGAATTGTTTACAGTTTTTATACAGACTTTTTTAACCGGTCTAATTTGCCCATAAAATCGTTAGTTTCGCGACATAAATTTTGACGTCATTGCAATATTTGCTGGCACGAGAGGAAATGAAATGGGAAATGAATATATTGACGTATACAAACGAATGGAAGTGAGACTCCATTCGTTTTACCATGTTTTAATATTTGGTTTTTCTTAGTCTTATTAGATAGTTTACTATTATTGGTCATGAGTGCCTACACAATGCTACACATTTTTATGGTCAAGTTCTGCACAATCAAAAATTTTCTTGTGGCAACCCTGCGTGTGATCAGTCTAGTGTAAGCAGTCGGAGCAAACACACCTCTGAAGATGCTAGCCACTCGTGCTAGCGAAACGTTAGGAAGCAATTCTAACCGACGACGGCCTAAGAACCCGAAAAACCAAAATTCTTTATTTCCGTATTGTAACGGAATTTAAATTTTGTCTATATTTTCAAGAAAATTTAGTCCAAACATAAAGAATATTTTGTTGATGTTTGACAAACAAAATCTTAAAAATAAAGAAGTTGTCTAAAAATGTGATAAAAGGAGTTAAATGGAAGAGCAGAGCTCAGTTAGACTCTGAATTTCGCTCCTTTTCATTTAGAAGTGACTGCCTCTTTTGTTTGTATTTTTTTGGTTATGGTATTTTTTTTATCAGAGTGTTATTTTTTTATGTTGTAATATTTTTTTTGTAATATTTCTATTTTTATTTGGGAATAAAGACATTTATTATTATAAAATACGGATACAGTATAATCCTTTATCTATATTAACACTAATATTATTTAGCAAAATATAGCAAACCCATCCTTATAAATTACCTTAAATATAGCAAACCCATCCCGTTATAAAAAAAGAAAAATATATTCAGAGAATCAGTGGTATCAGTTCAAAAGTAAAATATTATGTCAATCTCAAATAAAATTTTAATATGTGTATGACTATTTTAGTAAATTCCATTTTGATGTTTTTGTTATTTATCACGGCCTACTAATAAAAAAATGATATATTTTAAATATTGCAGTAAATAGTGAAAATAAATATAGAGTTTTATATATTTTTGAGAAGCTCATAGCAAGACGGATCATATAATTTATAAATATACAGGGTGTTCTATTTGAAAAAAAAAACATAACTTTAGTTCATATTTTCAAAAATATTTTTTTTTCGTAGAAAAACGGACTATGCCACTAGTGTTGCACAAGACAAGAATTCTTGTCTTGAAAATCAATTTCTTGTCTTGTCTTGAAATTCAAAACAAGAAATTTTCATAGTCTTGTCTTGCAGATTTCTTGAATGGCAAAGTCTTGTCTTGTCTTGCAAGACTCTTGAAATTTGTCTTGAAAAAATTTACATTCTAACAAAAAGGTAATAATATTTCTATATTTTATTTCATAGAAAGCGTCGTATACAAAATGTAATACGGAAAAATGAACAACAACGATGCTATAATAATTTTACCAAAAAAATCTTAACGGACCGCAAACGAACTACTCATTCGCCCGTTTGACGAAACAGGAGCCGTTACCAAATAAAAGCTGTTAATTCTTATTTATTATGTTCTATTTTGATTACTCGTTTGTCACTTTTATTTTTTATGGTAGTTATTTTATTTTTTTATTATGGAAGGTTGGAAAAGTTTGGACACAGGGTGTACGGAAAGGTCATGCTAGAGTGTACTATTTGCGCTATTTGATACTACTTTTTGTTCGCGGAGCAATTTCGTGCATGAAAAGTAGTACCAAATAGCGCAAATAGCGTGCTCCACGAACCCACCATTAGTTTCAACACCGTTAGTTTTTTTTTATAATACCATTATACCAATATAATTTTGTGTATAATTCCAATTACCAATATACGGTTTGTTGCCTCGACTTTATTTTATTTCAGTCTCAACTCTAAAACACTGGCTATGATAGAAAAAAAATGAACACTGGACAATATTAATGCCGGGTTTATACAACATTTGCATAAGCCGTAATTATAATCACAGAGTCTAATCATCGTCATAATCACAACGCAATTTTAATATGCGTTTATAGAACATTTTCATAATCATAATTTTTATATCAGTGAAGTTGGGTAATATAATTAAAGGCTAAGTTTATGGTAGATTTAACTTTTATAATTATGACTATGATTGTGATTACGATTATGTAAATGTTGTATAAACCCGGCATAACTTACGCAAAGAAAGACCTAATTATCACTTAAAAAACGGTATCATTTCTAACTTTCAGGAAATCTTGAATTCAAGAAATCTTGCAAGACTTGCAAGAAATCTTGAAATTTCTTGCATATTAAAATCTTGTCTTGTCTTTAAATTCAAGGCAGGAAATTTTGAAAGTATTGTCTTGAATTCCTTGCAAGAGTCTTGGTCTTGCAAGACTTTTTGAAGACTCTTGTGCAACACTATATGCCACTGTATTCTACGTAAAAAGTTCTACACGAATCAGTTTTCACCTTCTCGATATCATCCACGATAACGGATATACGACGGATATACGAGGGCTGTCCCAAGTTGCAAAATTTTTGAATAGACCCTTTAGCTTAGAAATGAAAAGGGCTATGAAAATTTTGTTGGCAGCATCTTCCGTTTGACAAAAAAGTGGGACAGGTATGTGCAAACCGCATCCTCCCAACTTTACTGATAACGGAGATACCGTATTATTTCAACTAAAATGGGACACCCTGTATATTTTTTACCCAAGTGAGACACCCTTCGACCAGTTATCTTGTACCCACACTTCAACTCGAGACTCCAGTAATAAAATTCGACTTTGAATAATTTATACTTAACTTAATAATTAAGTTAAGTATAAATTACTAATTATTAGTAAGATGTTTTTAACACATATTGTTATATTGTTGTGTAAATTATTTTAGTCAGTATTATTATTTTACGTATTCTTTAACGGCGATTAATGTTACATCAACCAAACCAAACCAAACCAAACTGTAATTTTTCATGTTGAATATAGAAGATGATTTATTTGCGTATATGCAAATAATGTAAGGAACCGCCAAATGAAACATTTTAAATTATGAAAAAACACGCTTTTGGAAATGAAATTTTTTTAAATAGGAATTTTTTAGAAAAGCAATCATCTCCTGATTTTTTTGCACTTATTTATACCCTCTAAATTTACTGTCTATTTAAAACATGTTATAATACTTACTTAAGTGGCCCCTAAAATTTAATTTATTTTTAAGTTAATTTTACGAATTTTTTTTTTACCAAAAATAAATTTCATTTTACATTTCAGGTTCCAATATGGGCACAAAGAGTGATATATATTCAAGGCTCGTGTTTAAAAGATGGAGACCTAGTGAGGGCCAGAATGAACGAAGCGGAAGCATGCTTTATTTTAGCAGCTAGAAATTATGCTGATAAAACCGCCGCGGTAAGTTTAAAATAAATTTGTGTTGTTTTGAATTGGCTCTAAATAAAACTAGATCAGATGTAACACTCGACATACTACAATTTTTCTTTGTTGGTGATAAAAAATAATTGAAATAGGAATATTTTAATATCGATTTAAAACACAAATAATAATGAAATATTTCAAATGCCAAGGCAGTATACAGGGTGGCGCCTCTCATACGTCGCGGAAGTTCCAAGGAGAACGGTAGTTTATATCGAAATGAAATTTTAGCAGCATGTGTAGGTTAACTGAAAGTATTTTATAAAAATATATAGAATTATACAGGGTGTCTCCAAAAGAAGTTACACATCAAAGTTTTATTTTTTCTAATGGAACACCCTAGATATTAATTGATTTTCGGACTCTAAGAAAAAAATAAGAGTGAGTTTTATTAAAGAAGCATATACCCAAAATGAAGAGTAAATTTTAAATGTCGATAACAGCTACCTAAATTTTAGTTGACCTTGTATAACCTGATATTTAATTACAGTAATCATTGTATGTTAAACCAAATTGAAATTTGGCCCGAAAAGTTATACAGGGTGAGACAAAATTAATATGGAATATTAGTCACTTTTAAAAGCAAGTTACTCCTTTATTTTAAATGGAACACCCAGTATATTTTGCCGGTGTTCAAAGAGGAATTTATATATGTTCAAAATATTATTAAGGTTGCCTACCCCTCAGACAAAGATTTTCCTAGGTATTTTAATTTTTATGATTTTGCGTCATTATTATTTATTATTTGAAAAATCTAGGTGGCTGTGTGATATACCTTTTGTTAATTTAACAAAAATTAAAGATTGTAGAGTAAAATACTCAACGGAAATAAAAAAATTACACGTTTAAAACATATTTTAATTACTACAAAATTAAAACTAGATATAAACTTATAATTATGTGACAAAAATTAGCTAGATAAAATAAAATGCTCAAAATGCTTCCTTTCCTGTTAACTGCATAAAATGATTGTCTTTTCGAAAGGATCTTTTCATTTTAAAAGGCATAAGGGGAGTTCTACCTCGAAAAGCAGCTACAATAATTTCTCTCATGTTGTCGACAATAGTTGGTCGAGTTTTGTAAACACTGTCTTTAACATATCCCCATAAAAAAGCAGACTAGATAAAATCAAGAGTATTTAAGTATTCTATTAATTGGTGAATGCACACTGCATTCATCAACTAATAGAATCATATCAATTATCTCTGAATGATAACTAGTTGGTAAAGTTGGACTAATTAGACAGCTATTTTGAAGTAACGTCAGACATATCACAGCCACCTAGATTTTATCAAATAATAAAGATCTACTCAGATCAAATCATGTCAATGAAAATATCTAGGAAAATGTTTGTTTGATGGGTAGGCAACCTTAATAGTATTTTGAAGAGACATGAATTCTCCATTGAATATCGGAATAATATACTGGGCGTTCTATTTAAAATAAAAGAGTAACATGCTTTTAAAGGAGACCAATGTTCAATATTAATTTTGTCTCACCCTGTATAACTTTTTGGATCAAGTTTTAATTTGATTTAAAGTACAATAGTTAATTATTAACCTTACTATATATTAGGGTATACCGAGTAAATTCCAATTTAGGTAGCTTTTATTGTAATTTAAAAATTGTCCTTTATTTCTAGAAAATGTTAAATATGTCAAAAACCTTACATTTTAGTCATATACTTCTCTTATAAAACTCACCTTTATTTTTCTCCCAGAATCCGAAAATCAATTAATATATAAAGAGTTCCATTACAAGAAACACAACTTTGATACGTAACTTTTTTTGGGGACACCCTGTAGAACTCTCTATATTTTTAAAAACTGCTCTGAATTAACCTACATATGCTCACAAAATTTCATTTCAATACAAACTGTCGTTCTCCATGGAGTCTCCGCGGCGTATGCGAGGCGCCACCCTGTATATGTAGATCTCAACAACTTTCTGAAAATTATTTTACAATAACAAATAGTTTAAAAACAAAATATATTTTTATATACAGTAGGTATGTCCCCGGATTGTCTTTACAAGAGGAAAGACTTTTATATTATTGACATTTTGAGAAAAATGCATTCTTCATAAAAATTGTTGCTTGTTCTAAAATCAAAATTTGGAAAAGTATAAACGGGGTATTTAGTGGAGTGCTTTAAGCCCTTATGGGATACAAACCTCGGAATTAAATTACTGTGAACCAATTTATATAAAAAAATTTGCATAGTATTGTTAATAAGATATATTACAAAGTTTACACATTTAAATTAATTGCTTTCACTTTATTATTTAAATTAACACACATAATATACAAATGCATACATACAAGATGGCTCCGTATTCCCGAAAAGCTCTGAAAATTAGAATTCCTATTTGAGATTTTCACTCCAAACCTTTCATAAAATACATGTTTAATGGTATTTAACATTTCAAAAATATTTTTATAGATATACAGAGTGAGTCAAATATATATTATGCAGGAAACCGCCGTTTCCCAGCTTTCGAGATTGATAAAGAATTGCACTTAAGGACCGTACATGTTAACTAACGGACTACAAGAAGAAAATTAAATTAAGCAAATCTTATATCAAAAAGGCCTGCTTCGGGACCAGAACTTACTAGATGTGTTGACTAGGCCCAAAAGCAAAGGCATGGTCTTAATGTAAAAATTACAAAAAAATGTTAGTGCCTTCTTTAAAACCAAACATTTCCAACAAAAATAAAGCTAATGAGATGAACCAAAAAACAAACCATCGAGAATATCTAGATGATAAAATGATTTTAACATATTTCACAGAGTGTTTCAAACTTTCACCAAAATATCAACATTTTGTTTTCCCTCTATAATTAACAGATGGGGAGTTTCATTTTTAATTTAGAAAAAGATACTAAAAAGTCAAATAATTTGGCAACACACTGCTTAAAAAATCATCATAATCGGCCCATTAAAATAAAATATATTAACCTTTAAAATACATCCAAGTTTTAAGGGGCCCATTCTTCGTGCCGGTGAATGTATTTCAAAAATTTTACATTTTAGTCATATACTTTTCTAACGAAACAAACCTTTATTTTTTTACTAGCATCCAAAAATCAATTAATATATAGGGTGTTCCATTACAAAAAACATAACTTTGATGTGTAGCTTTTTTTGGGGACACCCTGTAGAACTCTACATAATTTTAGAAAATGCTTTAAATTGGCTTACATAAGCTCACAAAATTTGACTTCAATATAAACTTTTGTTCTCCTTGCAAAAACCGCGTCGTATATGACGCGTCACCCTGTATAATTCGATTTCAATCAAAATTTCAATAATTAGAATATAAACAAAATAGATTATAATGAAACATAGTTTATGCATTAGATTTATTTATTTCAATAAATTTACTTAGAAAAAGAATTAAAAAAATCAAAATATTAAGAAGGAAATAATTAAGAATTTACTAAATTTATTAAAATAAAAAATTAAAAGCAACGAAAGAAAATCGGTAAACATTTTAGTATTTTATCTATAAAACACAATACAGAAGGTTTCACATTAATACATTGACAGTAATTGAATTCGGAGGTAAAAGTCTCTGGGCACTCCACTAATTATCTTTTTCAAAAAATACAAATTTTTAAAATAAAACTTTCGTAATGATATAAATTGTACAATAAAAAGTATGGAACTGATACGGAACGGAAGCTTACGTATAGCGTCAATACAATAAAAAATACGGAACGGATATGGAATGGATATGGAATGGAAACGGAAGGTATAGTGAGATTAACCTTTAACCGCCTCCATATCTCCAGTAGTTTCCGAGATACCCATAGAGAACATCGTAGAAAATTCACCCTGTAATGGTTTAAGGGATATACGAGTATTATACGCTATCAAAAACTTTTATGTTCAAATATACTTTGTATAATGACAGATAAACAATTCTTGCAGCAAATTACATTAGAATTTTTTAAACTTTCAGAGAAGAATTTCTTAATAGTCAAAGCCCACTTGATTATAAAAAAATGTGATCGTAGGCTATCTTCTTCACCATTGTAAAGACAACAAAGAAAGGCAAAAAATAGAGTTCTTAGACAGGGTGTTCCATACAACCGCAATATTCTGGAATATTTTAATAATTAATTAATATTTCTCTATCATATTTTTTTCTATTTAACTTTCTTAGACTTTAGGGTTTATATGTACTAATTCAATTTAGCTTACAATTATTATCAATATTATTAATGGATGATCAATGGATGATCAATTTTGGAAGGTATACTATTATAAAATACTTCCAGGTGAAAATAAGGCGTCAATTATGTTCAGTTTATTAAATTTGGTGTTACGGGCGAGAATTAAGGGGCTCAGTTCATTAAGGTGAGTTAATGTATCAGGACTGTGGGCACTCACCTTTATTCCCGTTCTGGACTCGTACCTGTTGATTTTTTGCTTGAACAAAACACTTGCGGATAGCGCGCGCTTGGAGGTGTACACTGTGTACTCGGCCGATCTTGTCACTCTCCGTACTCGACTACGGCTACGTACCCACTAAGGTTTTTCGGGTAAAGGATGGGAGGAAGGGATAGAATCCAACATTTGGGAATGCTTTAAATGTTTATACAACTAATTTAAAAATGGCCATATTTCAAAAACCACTTAATATAATTTATATTAGCGTCATATATGCAGGGTCGCTTTTATGTTTGGAAAGGGTCGATTATTAGATAAAATATAGGAGGTACCGCAAAAGTTAAATACAAAAGTTATAGGATTTTTAAATATCTATTAGCGAGTAATAAATTCAAGTATACAGGGTCGTTCATAAAGTCGTGGAACATCAAAGTTTCATTTTTTAAATAGAACACCCTGTACTTTTAATGTACCTTGTAATGTACTTGTTATGTATATTATTACATATTATTTCAATTCTTCCTTCAATTCTAAGCAAAAATCGAAATACACATAATGTACTTCAAACCAATCATTTCCGAGTTATTGACTTTTGAAAATATCACAATTCGATTTAATTAATTTTGATGTGTTTGGTTTGATTTAATGATGCCATTCTGCCGAAACTGTGATACTGTTGTAATGGGGTTGTAAATTCCCATTAGCTACTATTAAAATTTATTATACAGGGTCGGTCATAAAGTTGTGTTACATCAAACTTTATTTTTTTGAATGAAACCCCCTGTATATTATTGCATATTTCAATTATTTCTTCAATTTTAAGCAATAATCGTAATACACAATGTACATAAATTGAAGAATTGGAATGTTAAACGAAAATTTTGTTATTTCCAGACTTAATATAGGTACTCTCATTTTATACATCTATAAATGCTAACTTGAGAACTAATGTCAAAGATTATTAAGTATCACAGTTTCGGCAGAATGGCATCTTTAAATGAAACTGAACATATCGAAATTAATTAAATCAAATTGTTTAAGTGATATTTTCAAAAGTCAATAACTCGGAAACGGTTGGTTTGAAATACATTGTGTGTATTTCTATTTTTGCTTAGAATTGAAGGAAGAACCGAAATATGCAATAATATACAGGGGTTCCATTTAAAAAAATTAAACTTTGATTTGCCACCACTTTATGACCGACCCTGTATATTTACATTTATTACCCGCTAATAGATATTTATAAACCCTTTGAATAAGAAGACTAAGGAAGGAGCACATGCTATCCATGTATTCATGCATGGTGGGCGGAAAAAGCACTCTACGGTGGGGATCCTTGACAGTTCTGTTTGACGATTCATTTGACACATTTGAATTTGATTTGAAATTTTGTGGATTTGTCAGTCTTTACAGAGCTTATTTTATGTTATTTATTATTTATTCTACTACTGATAATTGTATAAAGGTAGTAAATCTAGATGGAAATTGTGGCAGAACTTAAATTAACAGTGACACTATCGCGATTTATCGAAAAAGACTCTAAAATAGTTGGTTGTGTAGCGTGCGGTAGATCTCGACAAAAATTGAGTGAAATAATGGAACAACTTTTCGCTAGTAAGTGTAATATACATACGTGTAGTAAACCGATCATTTATGAAATTCACTTAAATTAACTAAATTATATATTTTTCTTGCATTTTAGCTTTTATTTACTACTTGTCAAAGATCAGATGTCAAAGAATTTTGATACGTTAATTTGACTTACCTGCTTCAGTAGCGTATCGGATGTTTGTGTGAATAAACTTATATATAACTTATTATAACTTATCTATTTTTATTAGAATTATATATTTTTATAACAATTTTAATAATTTCCAACATTTATTCACAACGTAAAATAAAATAACAAATTATTGAGTCTGCCCTACGTCTACCCTACATCATAGTTTTACATTTTTTAAATAAAATTAGAACGGCATTGATAAACCGGAATTTAAGTCGGCCATACTTGAGGCCCATCGCGGTGTACCTAAGATTTTTGATATGCTCCTTCCTTAATCTTCTTATTCAAAGTATAAACCCTATAACTTTTATATTTAGCTTTATGTGGTACCTCCTATATTTTACCTAATAATCGACCGTTTCCATACATAACAGCGACCCTGTATTTATCGATTATTATGATATCAGTATGGATGAAAATTTAGACAAATCTATTGAGCGAATAAAAATATATATAATTCTATTTAAAAAAATGTATAATTGAACCGCTTTGTGCGATAGTATAGCCTGCAGCTATAAAAATAAAAGAGTGAAAATATCAGTCAAAGAACCTGATACTTTTGTTGGGATACTGCATCAGTCTCTAGAAATAATTAATAAAAATAATTATATTCATTTATTTTATTTTTGGTTTTTAGGATGAACATACTATTTTGCGGTCATGGGCTGTGAAAGATTATGCACCAAATGTCGCACAATACGTTCAAATATTTCGACCAGAAAATAAACTCCACGTGAAATTTGCAGAATTCGTAGTCTGTGAAGATGAATTTAAGTATGCTCTTCTAGCTAACAACTGTACTTGTCCTGGTGCCTCTACATTAGTTACACTTTTATTACACACTTCACGAGGCCAGTAAGTTATTTAATTAGAACAATAATAGTTTAAGTTTTTTTTTATTTCAACGACATCAAAAAAATATAAAGCAATATCACTTTTTGCTTAAAATACAGGGTGGTACGAACTGTATTCCGGAAACTTTGGTAGCATATTTTGCAAATAACAATAAGTAAAAAAGTCCATATAAATGTAAGTCCCAAAATGCTTAGTTTCGGAGATAGAGAGTGTAAAAGTTTCATTTTTATTTTAATTTTTTCCAAATAATTTCTGGTGTATAAAATTGGTGTATGGAAGTTTTTTGACATGAGAAATTTGATTTTGATGTCAATATGACTTCTATTTGTAGGGAGCACCACATACATAACTGTTTTGAAAAGTAATAAATTTTCGTCCGTTTAAAAAAAACGGACTAATTATAAACGGATAAATTTTATAAAACTACTGAGTGAAAAAATGTACATTTCCGTGATTTTTACGTAAAAAATGTCTCTTTGTAAAAATCGCTACGAGCAACCGTGCTCAAGATATATAGAATGGAATTAGCCAATACATGTCATTATTGACAAAAAATAAACATATTATATTGAGTAGTTAGTTATTTGATTGGAATAATAAATTTCGAGAAATTGGAAACTTTTTATTATTAAAGATTTTAAATGTATGATTAATTATTATAAAAATTTTATTATTATGATTAATTATTTAAATTAATCATAATTTTTTTAAAACATGTTTAATTTATGTCAATGATAACAGGTATTGATCATTTAGATTCCAAATATCTCGAGAAAACTAGAGAAATAACTCGCAGCGATTTTTACCAAGACACCTTTTTACGTAAAAAAACGTCGTAAATACATATTTTTTTACTCAATAGTTTTATATAGGTACGGACGAGTTATTACTCTTCAAAACAGTTAAAACACGTGTATGTGGCGCCCCCTACAAATAGGGGTCATATTGACATCAAAATCAGATTTATCATGTAAAAAAAATTTCATACACCAATTTTCATACAAATATTGACGTTACTTCAAAATTTATTTGAAAAAAATCGAAATAAAAATGAAACTTCTACACCCTCTCTCTCCGACACTAAGCATTTTAGGACTTTAAGCATTTTAGAACATTTATATGGACTTCTTTACTTATTTTTATTTGTAGAATATGCTGCCAAAGTTTCCGGAATACAGTTCGGACACCCAATATATTTAGATTAATTTCAAAGATATAATTTAAATTTTCATTCGAAGAGAACAGTAATTTAGTAAATTTAAATATTTTTTGGAGGTTGTATTTTCTTGGGGTTATGATCCGTAAAAAAAATGTCAAGTCAAACGTATCTTTATCAAAGCAATATCGTTATAAACTTGAACGTCAAAAATGTACTGTGTTAAAATGTAACTATACAATTTTGATTTTCTAACTAAACTACTTTAACAAACTAATAAAGTCAAACACCTAAAAATAAAATAACAACAATTAACAAATTCTATTCTCTTTTAAAAAATACTCAATAAATATTTAAACAAAGCAATAAAAAAGCTTCTGCACACCAAATAACTAATAATGTAGAAATAATAATATTCCTGAAAAGGTGGAAAAATAACAATGTAAACAGAAACTTTATAATTGCATAAACAAATATTCTAGAATTTTTCTAGGAGCTATTCTTGAAAGTTTATTCTGAAGTGGTCTAATAGTGATCTGATATTATAAAACCGATCAATTCTATATCACCTCATAACTTAAAGAAACATTATACACGTTTATTATTATTTTGTCTAACTTGGCCTGTACAGATGATTGAAAAAGAAACATAATAAAAATTTCACAACAACGTCAAATGAGCTTAGAAATAATGCGTTGATATCTAAAACGTCTTAATATTTTTAAAATTTTTACATCTTTATAAAAATAAGTTGAAAATCTCGAACTTAAAGGAAGATTCCCAACAAGTTTTTTTTTTTTAATTTTAACTACCTACGGAATATCACTTTTTGCTTAAGGTACGTTTCGATTAATGTCAAATATTTAATATAAACTTACATTCAAAGAATTATTGAGAAAACAACAACAAAGTAGTTGCATTTGAACACTTATATCTAGTGAATTTAAATATTTGTTTGGAGGTTGTATTCTTGGGCTTATAGTCCGTAACAAAAATGTTTTAAGACAAACGCATTTAGTCATTGTTTACGTTTCGATCTTTATTAGATCGTTATAAACTTGGACGTTAAAATATCATATGTTTGTTTAATATTATGTACTGTGTTAAAATGTAACTATACAATTTTGATTTTCTGACTAAACTATTTTAACAAACTAATAAGGTCAAATACCTAAAAATAAAATAACAAAAATTAACAAATTCTATTCTTTTTCAAAAAATACACAATAAATATTTAAACAAAGCAACAAAAGACCTTCTCCAAACCAAATAAATAATAATGTTTAAGCTACTCTAGATTATAGTTTAAAAACATAATTTCTTGCTAATCGTTAACAAAATTGCGTTTTTTTTTAATTTGAAGTAATATACCAATATTTTTTAAAAAAAATTAGTTTATATTTAAAATAAACAACCCGTTGTGTTGTCTCAAGTTTTGTTTATCATCCAAAAATCTGTTTAATCGCAGTTACGTCATTTTGGTGGGAGAAGTACGTACTTCTTACTTTACATTAATTATATAGATTAATACAAATTTATAAGTACATGTTATCAATGTGTGTAAAATAATGTTTCTCATGGTATTCCTCAAAAAGGCGGAAAAATAACGATGTAAACTGAAACTTTACGTTTACATAAAAAAATATTCTAGAACTTTTCTAGAAGCTATTCTAGAAAGTTTATTCTGAAGTGATCTGATATTATAAAACCGCTAATTCAATGATCACCTCATAATTTAAAGAAACATGATACACGTTTATTATTATTTAGTCTAACTTGGCTGTACAGATGATTGATAAAAAAAGAAACAAAATAAAAATTTAACTAAAACTAATAACGTCAAATAAGCTTAGAAATAATGCGTTGACATCTAAAACCCCGTACAGACCTGGATACAATCGCTGGCAACATTGTCGGCCGACTGCATTTTTCTTGTCGCTCTCGAATCGGCTGATTCGCCGCGGACACAACAACATCGGTCGGCATTTTATCAAAGGAATCTCCAAGTCGCTTTTTTCCGTTTTTAATGGGAAACATCGGCAGGTCTGTACAGATTTTTTGATAGATACATCATTTAAACTAGTAAAGGAGTATTTTATTCATTGAAATTTGATGAATTAGTTTGTTTCGTGAATCCGTTTAATTTAAAATCAGCAAAATGTGGTCTACTAAAAACACAAGTGCCTGCTCTATGGAATGTCTCTTGTAAAGAATACAGGGACCACAACAAGAAAATGGACGAAATAGTACGTTTAGCAGCAGAAGAATTTTCCACCACTACAGAAGAAATTACAAAAAAATAGTTCCTTAAACTAGTTGCAAATTAGATGTGGACGTGATACGATTTTTTCACGTCGGCCGATGCGAGTTACATCGCCGACTGTTAAAATGAGAAGAAATTGTAAAGATACAATTGACCGACATGTTTCCAGCGATTCTATCCAAGTCTGTACATAGCTTTAAACGTCTTAATATTTTTAAAATTTTTACATCTTTAAAAAAATAAGTTGAAAATCCCGAACTTAAAGGAAGATTCCCAACCAGTTTTTTTTTAATTTTAACTAACTACGGAATATCACTTTTTGTTTAATATATGTTTTGATTAATTTCAAAGATTTAATTTAAACTTACATTCAAAGAATTATTGAGAAAACAACAAGGTAGTTGCATTTGAACAGTTATGATTAGTAAATTTAAATATTTGTTTGGAGATTGTATTGGTTGTATTCCATGACATGTATTTTATGACGTCAGAACTCGTTTTCGCACCAAGCGAATTTCAATAATTAATTTAAGTACTTTCCAGATGGAATTTGTACAAACTGATTTTACATATATATGTTTTAGATATAAATATATTAGGAATCATAAATATTTGAATTATACCTGACACGTGCAAGGACCCTATTCTATGATTACCGCATAACTTAAACAAACATGTAACACGTTTATTATTATTTAGTCTAACTGGGCTGTACAGATGATTGGTAAAAAAGAAACACAATGAGAATTTAACATTAAAAAACAGTGAAAAAAACTAATAACATCAAATAATGCGTTGACATCTAAAACGTCTTAATATTTCTAAAATTTTCACAACTTTTAAAAAAAATAAGTTGAAAATCCTGAACTTAAAGGAAGATTCCCAATCAGTTTTTTTTTTAATTTTAACTAACTAAAGAATTTTGATATTAACCTCATATTTACTGTACGTACACTAAATATCGTTCGCGAACTAGTTCGTGGGAACTAGTTCATTCATTGAAAAGAACTATTAAACACACCTCTAATTTCGAGCTTTTCTATTCTCGCTTTACTTGCCCCTCCACTTAGTAGGGGAGAGAATCGACACTGGTCGATCGATTTCTCACATTAATTCTACAGCACGCAGCGGTCTAAATCTCGATCGGAATTTCTTTACAATTCACCACTAAACCCAAATAAATATTTACTTTTATCGATAGATAATTAATAATAATGCATTTATACAAAAAACAATAACTTCGTTACAAATATACTCCGTATGTTTTCTCTGATTAATAAATAAAAATAAACATTTTTGTTGTGCACTTTCTGGCGCACATTGTAAAATTTTCATATATATAATTTTTTCATTTATATAATTTCATATACAGGGTCCGGGAATAATAGTGCGTCGGGCATCTGTAGCTCATAGAATAAAAAAACTTGGGAATTTTGCTTAAGTGCAAACTTGCTTAAGTGCAAACTAAAGTATGTATTAGGATGTATTTCAGGGAAATATTTTTACTTCTATATGGAGGGTCAAAGAAGTGTGAATGGTTCGGCATGATTTTTTTAAATGGAACACCATGTATATTATTGCATTTTTGGCTTCTTTTCAGATCACTTTACATAATCCTAAGACATGAGTACATACATTTCAATAATTTCAGAGATATTAGTAACTAAATAAAAATTATATATTTTTCAGCTTTCCTTAAAAAAATTATTAATTATACAAGAACTACCTTGAAATCAAAACTATATTAGGTATTTACTTTAGATGGTCTGTACTTACTTTGCTATAAATATGGAAATCGTAAATCATACAGGATGTTCAAAATTCTACGCCAAACTTTCTAAAATATAAAATAATTTTTCTTCGTTTGTTTAAATGGGACACCCTGTATATTATTTTTTCAATAGATGGAGAATTAAAAAATTAACATTTTCTGTATTTAGAGTATTTCAAAATTTTTAACGGTTTCGCAAATATTCCCGGTTTTATATTTCATATGGCATTTTCCACAGTAAATTTTTATCAAAGCCACCCAATGATTTTTCTCTAGTAGAGTAAGTTGGTGATATTTTTGCTTGAACATGGGCAATTTGAATTCGTATGAAAATATATTATTTTTCCAACTTACCTATCCAGAAGGTTTATGTTTCAAGCAATCGCTTATACCGATCGGGACAGGTCAACTCTGCGGGTTGGATTTTAACGTGTAAGACAGTGATGTAGACAGCTTAATGGCAAATCAAATGTATTAAAAAGAGAAAAAAAGTTGGGTGGGCATGGGTGGGTACATTTCTTCTGAGCGGTATTGCTGGATTTTGCATCAAAATTTCAAACCGCATAAGTAGACCTTTCAAAAAAATGTTGCATCATATATATCTATTATATATAGGTATATACAAAATAGGTATATAAGATAAGATGATGTCAATTTTAACAGAAAAAATACATTTGAAAAAAATGCAAATTGGTTAGGTAATTTGGTTATAGGTAAGTTATTTTGGTGATAGTGGAAAGGTATTTTGGTGATATATGAGATTAGGAGCAGTTGAAAATAAAATGGCTGAAAATTTTTATCTTTATTACAAAACAAGTATTTTACCTAGTAGAAATAATAATAATTTTTATTCTGAGTCGTTTGAAGACTGCTCATCACAACCGTCTCACATAAAGATGTCTTCATCATCAGGTCTCGTTTGACAATTTGTGTGATATGGAACACAGTAAAAAGAGCACTGAACCCATAAGGCACCATTTTTAGCGTTCACATCTTCTCGATAGCTGATTCCGCAGACACCACAGTGCCAATCATAATTTTATTTAAAAGTCTGTGTCCTAACATTCACGTTTTGCATGCAAAATTGCTAAGAAAATGGCCGTTATGTGATTTTGTGACAAATTTCGAATGACAAAATAAAACAACCAAATAACGAATTTAGACATTTTAGTCCATAAAGGTTGCCATGACGACCTTTACGGCCTAGGCCGAAAAAGAAACATTTTACGGACTGAAATGAGTCCGTAAAATAGCTGTTTTTGGGAGCGTATGACAAAAAATCAATTTATATCACAAAAATGATCAAATTAAATGACTTTATTTATCGGCACGAAGCAAACGTTTTCCTAAACGTAAACAAATAAACCGAAGCGCGCCGCAGACTATGCAGCATGAAGAGGATATTAAATAGATTTAAACGACAAGTTTTAAGGCCTCCTACTGAATAGGCGAGTTGCTAAAAAATTATTAAAGAACTATCACCGATTTACCTATACTACCAACATACCTTACTTTACCCTACCTATTTTACCATTGAAAGCACCATATGAAATAATACTGCGTGTATCTGCAAAACTATTAAACATTTTGAAATACTTTAAATACAAAAAATGTTCATTTTTTAACTCTCCATCTAATAACAAACAGGGTGTTTATATTTTAGATTATTTTATATTTTAGAAAGTTTGGCATAGAATATTGAACATTCTGTATAATTTAAGATTGCCATATTTATAGCAAAGTAAAAACAGACCATGTAAAGTAAATATTTAATACAGTTTTGATTTCAGGACTGGTTCTTATAGTATTTGTAATAATTTTTTTAAGGAAGGTTGAAAAAAATATATTTTTTATTTATTTATTAATATCTCCGAAACTATCGAAATATATTTACTCATATCTTAGGATTATGTAAACTGATATGAATGAAAACCAAAAATGCAATAATATACAGAATGTTTCTTTAAAAAAAATCATCCAGATCCACTCACAGTTTTTTGAGCCATCCTATAGAAGTTAAAATATTTTCCTGAAATACATCCTGGTACACACTTTGGGTTGCTTTGGGTTGCACTTAAACAAAATTTTTAAGTTTTTGATTCTAGAAGCTACAAATGTCCAACGCACTGTCGCCGGACACTGTATTTGCGAATATTAAGTCTGAATTGTATAAGTCAATATTTAAAAGCACCAACGAATCAATGTTACAACTATACTATCATCTCATATTATGGTAATGTATGTATTCGTAGTAATACGTACCATAATATTAGATGACTTATAAAGATAATAAGAAAAAATGCTTAGCAGTTGCCTTTAAATTGATTAAATGAAAAAATAAAGATTAATAATCCATGACAATTTCTATCTGACCGACCCCATTATGCTTGAAAATTGACTTTATAATTAGCCAAATATTAATATTTTGCGTAAAATTTGCATTTTTTTAAACATTTAATTTTTAACAAGTTTTGTTTCAATTGTCAATAAATGACATATTATGGAGATAGGTTCGATACCATCTATCCACCGATTAAAAGCCAGAGTTGTGCCATTTTTAAACACAATTCAATTATAATATATGTATGTATAATTTATTTTTATGACAACCACATTCAGAAATTTTCTAAAATACATATAAATTGGAGTGTACTACATTTCTTTTCATAATTATTGTTTTAGAGAAGGTCAACAGTCACCAGAAGAGTGGCATAGATTATATGGACGTTGTTCTGGAAATGAAATTTATCATATTGTATTAGGCGACAGCAGATTTTTTGGGGAGTACGAAGGAAAGAGCTTTACATATGCAAGTTTTCATTCACATAGAAAGTAAGAAAATTACCATAAATACATTTAGTAACACGATTTTCAGATCTCATTTTATTTTTTTGACATTTAATGCGTAATAGCCAGGAAATTTTCCACTTCTCATTTACCTTGAAGTTCTATTTTAGTTTATGCACTTATGATTTAATAATTTAAGTTACCTCTTCTCGATCACAGCACATTAAAATTCTAATTCTAAAAAACCACCATATAACTTACATTTCAATCCGTATTTAGAATTTAGAGTATATTTTATTTGTAATTTATTTGTTTTATTTTATATTATTTTGCGGCATTTGAAGAACAATTTATCTTTATTAAAAAATAAGTAATTTTGATTTGTTTTTACACAAGAGGATTTCCATAAAAACAACAATACCAGAGCTTAAACAGTTTTACAGCACGGGTTTTATATTTTTTTATGGCAATAATTCAAATTAATCAAAATAGAATGCTAAATTATGTACCTATATAAATGAACCCAAGATTTTTTTAATACATCTATTTAAAATTAAATTCTTCACGAGAATATTGAAACAAGTAAAGGCGGGTTATCAGTATCACAAAAGAATATTATAAAGCAGTACAATTGATTCGGTGAGATCTCACTGACTTTTCTAAATATACGGGGTATTTCAAAAAACATGTGCCATCTCTCGTTGGGAGATTCCTTATGTAAAATTTGGAAAGCCTGCTTTAATTGTTTCATAACTACCGAGGGTTAGTCTTCATTTTTTTTTTTCAATTTATTATAATTTTCTTTTAGCGATTCGAATGATATTTTGAGAGTACAAATTACTATAAGTAACTACATATTTTAATATTAAAAGTGTCGACATATTCACCAGGGACGTGCATATAGGTTATCACTGGAATATTTTTCTAAAAAAACATGTGCGCCACTGACTTTCTTGTCTCTTTAAGGCCGTTTAATGCCGATAAAAATTGTATCTTGATATTTTGTCGATTTCGATCTCCTTGATGAGATAAACGCTCGGATAAAGCCGGTCCCACACGATGTGTCAAACACCTCCTAACGTTGGACACATGAACATTTGTCACATCGTGTAGGGGACTGACTGTGAATTGCAATATTGTCGATGCCTATGCCAAATGATATCGCGTAGGACCGGCTTAAACGGAATGTTAGTAATCACAATTAATAAAATTAAAATAAAATGAATACATTATTTATTTAATATAATTTGTTATTAAATATTATTAAAATTTATAACAGTGCATTGATGTTCAGTGCTATCTATACCAAATACAAAAAGATAATGATATTTAAGATAATTACAAAAGACATATCTACTTTTTAAAAAAGCTTTAACATCCTGTAACTTTAAAATTATGCATTTTCGCACGCATGTTTATAAGAACTTCTTTCATATTTTTTTGATGAGAAATTAGTATTTAGTTAAAACTTTTGTCAGTTAATGACATTAAAAAAATTTAAATTGCTATTATACTTGGATTGAGGAAAATTGATAAAATTGCGTTTATATCATCAAGGAGACCGAAATCGTCAAAATATGAAGAGACAACTTTTAATTGGCATTAAACGGTCTACACAATTTTGCTCACAAGAGAAAAGAAGTCAGTAGCGCACATGTTTTTTTGTATTACCCCATATTTACGTTCCTGGTGAATATGACACTTTTTTACCATTAAATTATGCTATACTCATAGTAAGCTTCACCCTCAAAATAATTTGAATCACTGAAAGCATTTGGAAGAAAATTATAATAAATCGTACCCTGTAGCTAAGAAACAAAGCAACTTAAAAAAAACAAAGCAAAAAATAAATCTTATTTTTACATGAGATACCCACGAGAGATGGCACATGGTTTTTGAAACACCCTGTATAAACTGCTGCACTGAGACACGTGTGAACCATCTTTTAAACTTCAGTTGGTATTCATTATTCAGTCAAAATGAATTAAAGTACAACTAGCTTTTAATTTCACTGAAAGTATGAATATACTTTTCATGGCAGGTTCTCACGTACAGCAGTCTAACCATAGACTTAAAATAAAATATAGACTACACTATTTACATCTACACGCAGTCAAACAATCATTTTTGTACACATGTTTACTTCTGGGTACACTCGACCGCAGTCGACCAAACCTTCCTCGTCCAGCCTATGTTGTCACGTCTTTAATATTATCAATATTTTTTTACTTGTTATACACATATATTGAGATATTAATACTGCATTTTAATAAAGTAGGTTTTAATATTCCATAGATGTATTAAATAGTCCTTATATTATACTACTTTATTATCAGTCGAATACTATGTAAAAAGGATAAATCCTTTACAATATGGCAACACCGATTAGAGACGAGGTCGCCTATTCATTATTAGTACGCGTCGCACGTGTGTAGTAAAGCATTGTTGCCGCTACTTCTCTCTAGCTGAATTATTGCATTTTCTTAGTTTGTAGTCCTTAAATGTTTATTTTATTTACTTTTTGTATTCAAGAACTATAAAATATGGTTCGCCAGTGTCAAATTTGCAAGAAATATGACTTAAATGGTCCATTTGAGTCTCGAAACGACTTTCGACCGGTAGGCAACTCTCAATTTACCAATTGGGAGTCAGTGGCGTTGTTGTAGAAAGGCGCTTATTTAGATAATATTTTCGTAAAATGTAAAATCTGAACTTTTTCTGTTACATAATCATTTATATAAAAGTTTTTGTAACAAAATCATAATTATAACCCTGTCATTATACAAGATAAATTATATTAGGCATCGGTTAAAAAATTAATCATGTTTTTATTAAAAATATATTCCAGTTTATCCTAAAACTATCTTCAGAATCTAAAATAACATACAAGAATTTTAAAATGATATTGCATTATGAAACAATATTTTTTAATATACCGGGTGCGTCTCAAAAGTCACCCCTATGACATTCTATTATTGTTTCAGATAAAAAAACAGATTTGTATGTTAGTATATGACGTAAATTAGGATTGACTGACGCATTCAATTGTTTTCGGTCATTTTCTGTTGCACCGGAAATGACTAAAACTTTTGATTTTTAAATGGCACCCTCGGTATATTGCTACTTTATTGACATGACACTTTATGACATGACACTCTGAATAGAATGACATATCATATGTCAACTTTTGACATTGTCGCTTAAAAACAAATCGTATTATAAATTTCAATCGAGGGTGCCACGGCGGTGTTAAAAACACTAATTTTTAATCAAGGAGCATTGGAAAAATAGTTTTGATCGTCTAATCTTTTTCGTGTCTTGTCTAGGCCGGTTAAAAGATGCACAAATCGTATTTTTAATCATATGTCAATTTTTATAAATGGAACAAGGGTGACTGATTAGCATATTTCGAAAAAGCATTTTTTTATGAATATATTGATACTTGGTATTTCGAGTCAAATTTTCGTTATGAACCGCGTGTTACAATTTCAATTAAACCTTATGCAAAAATGTCAAAAGTTGACATATGATATGTCATTCTATTCAGAGTGTCATTTTCTATCGAATAAAGTAGAGATATACCTAGGGTGCCATTTAAAAATCAGAAGTTATAGTCATTTCCGGTGAAACAGGAAGTGACCAAAAACAATTGAATGCATCACTCAATCCTAATTTATGTCATATACTAACATACCAAATCTTGTTTTATTATTAGAAAAAATAAAAAAATTATGGGGGTAAGCCACTTTTTGGACGCAGCCGGTATAATAAAGACAGTACCGGGTTAAATAAATGTAGTTTTCATTTTATCCACTTCCTAAAAGCTTGCTTTAATGAAACAGATCTCTGTTTTCTCTAATTTACATAATAAGTCATCACTTACCAGAAAAAAAATTACAACAATCATGAAGTTTTTTCTCTTTCCATGTCGCCGATTCTATTATATCTATAGAATAGATCCTTTTTTTTGTGATTAATATTAGGGTTGTAAATGTTTGACTAAAATTAATAATTAATTTATTAATTTCAAAAATTAAATAGGTAATTTCGATTATTAGATTTTTTTCTATAACATGTATTTTATTATTTTTACCGCTTTTGGACGTGTTTTTTCTAAACGTTTATTTAAAGAATCTCTCCTAAATCTTAATAAAATATAAAAAAATTAAATACGATATATTTTTAATTGAATTATAGCTTCATTAAAATAAAAAAATTACCCGGCTATGGTACGGAGAGTTCAGGTGTACCGAGAAACGAAAGACAGTGTTGCATTCCTCGTCAGAGACGTCAGGGAACAACCGTTACGACGGAGACAGCCTATCTATCGCTCGTGTCAATAACAAGACATTGTCTGACCGCATCTTCCAACTATTTATGAATGAGATGCTCAGTCTATATTTTATTTTAAGTCTATGAGTCTAACTGATTCAGTAGGACTGAGCGATCGAAATGAACATAAGAAGACTGAATCATATTGTTGCGGACCCGTGCCGTGTGAACAAAATAAATTTCTGTTAGATAAATAATTAGATAAGTTAATAAATAGTTCTTTAAGTCTTTTAATCGTTATTGTTTTTGTTAATTAGTGTTAAATAAATTGTGTTTAAATAAATTGTGACTTTCTATCCACACGGAACCGACGAAAAACGTAACAATATATTCATACTTTCACGTCCAGTATTTGTTCAGTCTCGCTGAATCCGTTAGACTGCTTCAGTGAGACTGATACATGAGAACCCGCCTTAAGCCGTATTATAAATAAGCAATATTTAAAGTAAAAATATGTTTTGCCATATAAGTGCTATTTTGTAAAATCTTTTCTTTCATCTTTCAAAAATAATGAAAGACTGAAAATAACAAAAGGTTATCTTTGTTCGCCGTTATAGGGAAACCAACCACACTCTCGTTACCGGTTTCGGAGCATAAACCTACCAAGAAATATTTTTATTTAAATATTACATATTGATACTGCAAGAACCTTTCACTTTTTAATTATAAATAAGTTAAATAATTAATGTTTACACAATTCGCGAGAGATGAAA